ATAAGTTCTTTGGCTTCTCCATTTCCTATACTATTCTTAACCTCCTTCTGTCTATTTTGTACCTACCAATTATGCTTATTCCCTGTACCTTTTCCACCATTCTCCCTCCTCCTCCCCACTGATAACCCGCCATGTGATCTCCATTTCTGTGATTCTCTTCCTGTTCTAGTTGTTTGCTTAGTTTGTGTTTGTTTTTGTTTTAGGTTTTGTTTTTGTTTCAGTGAGTTTGTTGTAATTTTATTGTTCCTAGTTTTGATCTTCTTTTTCTTTTTTTAAAATTTTATTTAGTTATTTTTCAAGTACAGTTTTTTGTCTATTTCTCCCATCCCAGCGCCCCCCCCCCCGCCCCTTGCCCCCCACCTCCCTTCCATTTCCTCCCCCCCAGTCCTCATCCCTGTGTCCTTCATGCTTGTTCCTCCAAATCCCTCCCCTTTTTTGATCTTCTTTTTCTTAGGTAAGTCCCTTTAACATTTCATATAATAAGGGCTTGGTAATGATGAACTCCTTTAACTTGACCTTATCCAGGAAGCACTCATCTGCCCTTCCATTCTAAATGAAAGCTTTGCTGGATAGATGAAAGCTTTGCTGGAAAGCTTTGCTGGATATGGGAAAAAATGAATGAGGTGGGGCAAGCAACTGAGCAGGTTGAGGTTTGGATAATTTGGGCAGGCTCTAGCTATAGGGGTGGCCTCTAATTGTCTGAAACCTGGCCCTGGGGTGCCAGGTTTCAGATAACTGGTTTGGATGAATCCAAATCATCCAATCTTGGATGTAGGTCCTTGCCTTTCATGACTTGGAATACTTCTTTCTAGCCCCTTCTTGCCTATAAGGTCTCTTTTGGGAAATCAGCTGACAGTCTGATGGGAACTCCTTTGTAGGTAACTATCTCCTTTTCTCTTGCTGCTTTTAAGATTCTCTCCTTATCTTTAATCTTGGGTAATGTAATTAAAATGTGTCTTGGTGTATTTCTCTTTGGATCCAAGTTCTTTGGGATTATCTGTGTTTCCTGGGCTTGCATGTCTCTTTCCTTTGCCAGATTGGGGAAGTTTTCCTTCATTATTTTTTTCAAGTAAGTTTTCAACTTCTTGCTCTTCCTCTTCTCTGTCAAGCACCCCTCTCATTCAGGCATTGGAACATTTAAAGTTGTCCCAGAGGGTCCTAAGCTTCTCCTTTTCCTGAACTCTTGTTTCTTCATTCTGTTCCAGTTGAATGTTTATTTCTTCCTTGTGCTCCAAATCATTGATTTGAGCCCTGGTTTCCTTCCCATCACTGTTGGCTCCCTGTATATTTTTCTTTATTTCACTGGGCATAGCCTTCACTTCTTCCTCTGTTTTGTGTCCGCACTCCATCATTTCTGTGAGAATTCTGATCAGCAGTGTTTTGAACTCTGCATCTGATAGGTTAGCCATCTCCTTATAACTTAGTTCTTTTTTTGGAGTTTTGATCTGTTCTTTCATTTGGGCCATATTTCTTTGTCTCGCACACCTGTTGCATTGTAAGGGGTGGAGCCTTGAGTATTTGCCAGGGCGTGGCACCCCACTTTGCTGTGCTGTGGTGCTGTATGTGGGGGAGGGGTCAGAGAGGGAACAGTGCTGCTTGCTTGGCTCTCGCCCCTTTTTAAGTCACTTTACCCATCTACCCACAAGCAGATTGTGCTCTTTCAGGTGCTGATTCCCAGGTGGGTGGGCTTGTGTACATTCAAGGATCTTGTGGGCCCCTCCAACAGACTCTTCTGTGAGACTGGAAGTTTCTCCCGCTGACACAACTCACCCAGGTTCTTATAGGCAGAGGTTTTAAGGCTTTCGTTTCTCACGCTGGAACCCTGGGTTGTGTGGAATGTTCTTCCTCCTGGTTTATCTGAACGCAAACGTGGGACCACCTGGTCTGCCAGCTGCCACCTCGCCCACCCAGTCCTCCACCTGCCACCTTGTCGCACGTCCTCTCTGTCCCAGCTTCCTGTCTCCACCCCTCCTACTGGTCTGGATGAATGTTTTTTCTTTAACTCCTTGGTTGTTAGACTTCCATACAGTTTGATTTTCTGGCAGTCCCGGTTATTTTTTGTTTTTTAATTTGTTGTTGTCCTTCTTTTTATCTACCTATACCTCCATCTTGGCCAGAAGTCTATGTTGATTAATTTTAAATGGTGAATCAACCTTGAAGTCCTTAGTCACATCATATTATCTTTATTACACAAGCTCTGTCTGGAAAAAGTCCAGCCACTGTTAATATAACAAGAATGGTTTGTGTGATGAGACCAATGTAACCTGGCAGTCAAGGAGAGAGGACTGAAATGTGCATCCGTGAACAATGACAACTTCACTGTACTAGTCAGTGGAGGCTAGAGACTCCATTGAGTGAGCATGTGTACCGTGGGGCCGTCGCTTTCAAAATGACTGAGCGAGTAGAGCAACAAATCTGCATCAAATTTTGCATTAAGCTTAAACATTCCTCTACAGACTGTTCAGATAATTCAGGAGGCCATAGCTATGGGCCGCTGGTGACTGGCAGCTTCATCTCAACAACGCACTTGCTCATGCAGCACTTCTCGTGCAGAGGTTTTTGTGAAACATCACATCACCCAGGTGACTCAGCCCCCCTACAGTCCAGATTCAGCACCCTGCGACTTCGGACTTTTCCCAAAACTAAAATCACCTTTGAAAGGGAACAGATTTCAGACCATCAATGAAATTCAGGAAAATACAATGGGGCAACTGATGGCTACTGGGAGAAGTATGTGAGGTCCCAAGGTGCCTACTTTGAAGGGGACTGAGGCATCATTGTCCTGTGTACAATGTTTCTTGTATCTTTTTCAATAAATATCTATATTTTTCATATTGGGTGGCTGGATACCCCTGGACAGACTTCGTACATGTTCTGAACCCCACTTTACAAGGTCATCCTTTTTGGTGTAAGCAATTAGTTGCCTTTTTTTTTAAATCCTCACCCAAGGACATTTTCTTTCATTGCTTTTAGAGAAACACTGATATGAGGTAGAAACATCGGCTGCTTGCCTCCCATATGTACCCTGACCGGGGATCGAACCTGCAACATAGGTGTGCACTCTGACCCAGAACTGAACACCTGTGACCTTTTGTCTACTATGACACTCCGACCACCTCAGCCACACTGGGCAGGGCAATAATTAGCTGTTGTTTAAGCAAATTAAGAGAAGAAAGGAAAAAAAGAGTGTTTTACATTTGCCCATTGTTTACTACTTCCTATACTTTTCAGTTCAAGATTTTGCACTTGGTTTCTTTTTATCATTTCTATTTCTCTGCTGGGGCTACTTATCGTTCATCCTATTTTCCTTTTATTTTTACACTATTCATAATAGCTACTTCATTAAGTCTAATATCTGGGCCATCTCATTTGATGAATCGTATCTTGTTTTTACCCTTGAAAATGGATCACGTTTTCCTGTTGGCTTGTAAGTCTAATAACTTACTGAACAATGGACACTGTGCATGTTACATATAGAAACTATGAATACTGTTAACTTCCTCTCAAGAATGTTCCTTTGTAAGAAGCAAATTAAATAAAATTAAATGTGTAAATTGCTTATCCTAAACCCTGACACACAACGGGTCTTGCAACTGAAGTTAATGTCTTTTCTGACTTCCCCAGGAAAACATCTGACGCTTCAGGACGCCTTCCGCAGGTCAGCGGCTCCAATCAGAATGGGAGACGCCCACCCCCTGCATGTGTTTCCACCTATTCTGTGGATACAGATAAGTGTACACACTATGGACACAGACAGTGCCTCTGACTGCAGAATTTTGCGCCGCACTAACATAAACACTGTATTTTGGGTCACCTCCTTGATTTTAAAAATAAGTTGAAACACTGACATTTAAATAAACTCTGGAAACACAAAGTAATTAGGGATAATTATAAGCTAAGCAGTGAAGAGGCACTTAAACATTCCATATAAAACAATACATTAAAGATATAACACTATATTGTTAAAATTGGCTTCAAACTGCTTCAGTGGTTTGGGCCAGGTGAGAAATAAATGGACTACTTCATGGCAATAGTTCCCATGTTAAGGCTTCAGTATGAGGCCAAATGCCAGCTGCTCTTCCAACCCATTTCAACCTCATGTGGAGAGACTAATTCTACTCTCAAGTGAATTCCACACTAGTCTTGGGTAGTTGCTTGTGAAAATAAAACTACTTTAGAGAAGAAACGTTCGCTAGGAATCAAACTACCCTATGTTTCTTACAACAAGCTCAGAGAGCCTTCAGGCCACAGAACCAACAAGAAAAACAAACTACTTCTGGTCACTATGTGACACTTCAAGCTACTGCCAAAAACAGAACGTGCAGAGCTGCTGTCGCTCAGCGGGAGCCCTCGACTGCCGGCCTAAAACCACACACAGGCAACGCTGGATGAACTGAAACCAAGTCCAAGGTGTTCAGGCTGCTGTTTCGAACACACTGGGTAACACGTAAGGCCTCAGGCACAAACGGAAGAAAGGAGCTACTGGGAGAGGGGAGGCGTTCTTCATTCAGGTACAAGTTCAGTACCAGCAAAGGGTAAAATGATTAAGTGGACAGAATTTCTTTAGGAAAAATAAAAGAGACAATATGAAACTGAAAAGTCAAAAAAAGATAAAACTGAAGTTTTAAGGGTAAAAAAACCCCAACTTCACTACCAAGCCCTAAAACAATAAATGGCAAATGGGAGCAGCAACATGCTACAGTAAATAAAAAGAGCAACATTTACGGACTAGAAGTCCTAACACTATTTGAGTGTTTATTGAAGAGCAGCACATTTCGCTGGGTTCACAAAGGGATTCGCATGGCACGCAGTTGCTTCTGTTTTCAGTTCGTAACCCACAGCAACAATGCGGTCGTCAATTTCTAAGCCTAAACTGCAGAAATGGTCAGTTTAGCCTCCCTGTCCATCTCTGCAGAACATGAGCGCATTGCAGCCACGTGAAAACCCAGCAGTTCATCTGCGACGTGCTCCCGAGGGCGGGCTAGAGGGACCGTACTTACTGGAGTCCTCCCACTGGAGCAAGCGCAGCTTCCACGCAGAGTAATACAAAAATCCCAGCACAAGAAAAAGGCAGAGGGCTAGCAGCAGATTGCGCACAAACACCAAGAGTCCCATCTTCACATGATTTACGATTTCCTACATGACCTGAAAAAAAAAACACAAAACCACAAAACAAAGCCAATTTAGGTCTTAAAAGACAAAGCAATCATCTTATTGACATACTCTACCTTAAAATAAATATTTATAGAATTTCCAAAGGAAGAACAACCTGGAATTACCTTTAAGTTTACGACATGGCACCTTCCAATCTGCTCATCTATGTGTCACAAAACAGCGTCACCAGTCACTCGGCGTCCAAGTCAGGACTCAGCAGTCATGCCGTGTTCCACCTCACCCTCATTCCTGACTTCAAACAATGACTAAATTCCTGTAATTCCAACCTCCCAAATAAGTGTCAGATCATATCCCCTCCCCACTGTCACTACCCTCCATTCTTACCACCACTGTGTTTCCAAAGACAAGTTTCCCTGCTGTTGGGGGCTGGGATAAGCCTGAAACAGGCTGATACAATCCGACCTGAATAACAGGATGCTGCGGTTAGGAGCCATAGAACTCCCCCTCCTGGACACGCGGGTGGCACACCAATCAGTGCCTTGATCACGCGCCCGCCATGCACCCCCGGCCAATTGCAGGCTAGAGCACGCTCTGAAGCCACCCATCCACTGCACTTCCTCCACTGCCCTCCTCTATATAACTCCCTCCATTTTGAAATAAAGTTTGCAGCTTGATCAGAATCCTTTGTCTTGCTGCCATTCTTCGCGCCTCCTGTCCCATCCCCCTTCATCCGTTACAGGTACATCGGCGGACCCCGTTGACTGCCTCGCGGGCCGAGGCAACTGGCGCCCAACGTGGGGCCCCGCTGATCGCCTGTGCGGACCGCTGTCCCCTCCGATCGCAGCATTTCGCCCGGCTCACCGCGACTACTCAACCGCGCGCCGGCATTCCCTGACGACCCCCGTTCCCCCGACAGCGGCATTTCAAAAGGTAAGACCCAGCCATGGGACAGGCATGCTCACAACATGATTCGTTCGTCGCTCAATTAAAAGAGTCTCTCAAGGTGCGCAAGATAAGAGTTCGTAAAAAAGATTTGAATTCCTTTTTCACTTTCGTTTTTAAAATCTGCCCATGGTTTCCTCAGGAGGGTAGCATTGACTCCCGCGTCTGGCGCCGTGTAGGCAACTGTCTAAATGACTATTATAAGGTTTTTGGCCCCGAGACTATCCCTATAACTGCCTTTGACTATTATAACCTCATAACAGACATCCTTAAAAACCACAATAATTCCCCTGACATACAGCGCCTTTGCAAGGGCAAGAAATTCTCCACAATCAATCCCCGGCCCCCTCCAAAGCCCCCTCAGTCCACGGCCTTCCCGATCGTGCTGACTTGCTTTTGCGACCTCCCTCACGAGCACCTTCAAACTGTCCTTCTGTTTCCATCCGAATAGATGCAGACCCTCAAGTCCCTTCTCTGTACCCTCCCCCTTCAGGAGTTCTATTCCTCTGCTCCACCCCCAATTCCCAGGACCCCGGCGACCAGTTGAACCCCTCTGAACAGGCAGAGTTAGAGTACGAGGCCGCTCGCTACAATAATCCTGACTGGCCACCGCTCGTAGCGGCAGTCCTTCCACCATTCAAACCGCCTCCTTATAGTACCTGTCACGCACCCGCCGCCGCCATTTCGCCTCCGGTGCATGGCGCTTCCGCCATTCAGCCCGCGGCGTGCAAGGCACCCACTGCTTTGCCGCTGGCGGCCACCGCCGCACTCACTCCGTTTCCAAAGCCTTTCCTTCAGGAAACCCTCTCTTTCATCCGAGATATCAAAACCATTGCCAATGAACTCTCCGCTCTTACGATCAGTCCCCCTCCCCACGAAACTTTAGCATTCCCTGTTACTAGATCCCAGACTCGCCCAGATAAGACCGAGAACGTAGATAGTTCAGCTGCGGCTGCAGCTACCCCCCTTCCTGACAGTGATGACCCCGAAGACTCTGACAGCTCCCCTTCTGATATAGATGAAGCACAGCCCAGTATAAGAGACACTACGACCCCCCAAGCTTATTTTCACACGTATAAAAAACTTAGTCTTAAAACACTAGAAAAAGTCAAAGCTGCTGTAACACACTACGGGCCCACAGCTCCCTTTTCCCTTGCCCTAATTGAAAATCTTAGTGAGCGCTGGCTCACGCCCAATGATTAGTTCTTTCTAGCAAAGGCAGCGCTGAGCGGAGGTGACTTTATTCTTTGGAAAAGCGAATATGAAGACATCGCTAAACAGTTTGTCCAGCGCAATATGCGAAAATCCTCCTCTAAAAATTGGACCATCCTTAAGTTTCTTGGCTCTGCCCCCTATCAAAACAATGAGAGACAAGCTCAATTTCCCCCCGGACTTTTAACCCAAATCCAGTCCGCGGGTCTTAAAGCATGGAGGCGCCTTCCACAAAAAGGTACCGCAACCACTTCTCTTGCAAAAATAAGACAAGGCCCAGATGAGCCATACAGTGATTTTATAAGTCGTTTACAGGAATTAGCTGAGAGGCTCTTTGGCGCGGGCGAAAGTAAAAACGCTTTCGTTAAACACTTAGCTTATGAAAATGCCAACCCCACTTGCCAAAATGCCATCCGCCCCTATCGCCAAGGAGAGCTCTGTGACTATGTTCGCCTCTGCTCTGGCATCTAATCAAACCCAGGGATAAGCCATACTCCCTGAGGGACTTCTCTCTCCTTTCTATTACAGGAAACAGAACGCACCGAATAAACATCATTATACTACTCGGAACACTCCCATACCTAAAGACAGACGGAGGACGAGAAGGACCACCCTAAAACCCCTGCCTCGCCCTATTTGGACAACCCTGCGTCTGTAAAGGAAAAGAACTTTCCGAACACACCCTTTGGGGTGGACTTAACGGAATTCTCCCCTACCCCCTTCCCCTCTTAGGACCTTTAGTTTCTATCACCCTCATCCTCTCCTTTGCCCCCTGGATTCTTAGACGTATAACCAACTTAGTCAAAGACCAACTTAACAGTGTACTAGGAAGACCTATTCAGGTACACTATCAACAATTAGAAATGCTAGAACATGGAGCGGACTCTGAGCCGTACAGCCACTGGGGTGCTAGCCCACGATTCCTGCCAGGTTCCCCTCCTGCGGGAGCAGCATAACCCTCGAAGATATGCTTCACAGCCAAGTAGCTGTGATAGACACCGCTGGGTGCAAGGCAAAGCACTGCAAGGAGAGGCCTGTACATACGGCCACTTCGAGTCTCCTGAGAGGTAAGCTGACTTGCAAAGAGGTTGGTACCCAACTCCTCTCCTCCCAAAAGGTACCCTAAAGCTCAGAATGAGCCCAGGAGGAGTCAGGCCTCTGCCTCCCCCAGCCGGTTAAAGTCTACCCTATCTACATTCTCCTCGCCCTCAAAGCAATAAAAAGGCAAGTCGGCTTGCATAGAGGTCAGCACCCCAACCCTCTCCTCCGAAAAAGGTGCTTCAGAGCTCGGGACGAGCTCAGGAGGAGCCAGACCTCTGCCTCCCCTAGCCGGTTAAAGTCCACTCCTCACCTTAAAAATAAAAATAAGGGAGGAGATGTTGGGGGCTGGGATAAGCCTGAAACAGGCTGATACAATCCGACCTGAATAACAGGATGCTGCGGTTAGGAGCCATAGAACTCCCCCTCCTGGACACGCGGGTGGCACACCAATCAGTGCCTTGATCACGCGCCCGCCATGCACCCCCCGGCCAATTGCAGGCTAGAGCACGCTCTGAAGCCACCCATCCACTGCACTTCCTCCACTGCCCTCCTCTATATAACTCCCTCCATTTTGAAATAAAGTTTGCAGCTTGATCAGAATCCTTTGTCTTGCTGCCATTCTTCGCGCCTCCTGTCCCATCCCCCTTCATCCGTTACAGGTACATCGGCGGACCCCGTTGACTGCCTCGCGGGCCGAGGCACCCTGCCTCCAGATCTGCGCTCTCCCAAACCCGGTTCCCACACGGCGCTGGAGCGGTCTGGTAACAACAGGGAATCTGACATTACTTCCCTATTCAACCCCTCAGTACTAGGGTTCTACTGCTTTTGTAACAAAGTACCACAAACTTAGCAGCTTAAAGTAACATGAATTTATTTTTATTTTCTCAGAGTTCTGTGGGCCGAAAGTCCGGATACAGTGTGGCTCAGCTGAGTCCTCTGCATAGTCACACAAGGTCAACACCAAGTGGTCAGCAGGGTTTTCTGGAGGTGCTAGAGATGAATCTGCTTCCAGGTTCTCTCAGGCTGTTGGTCAAATTCAGCTCCTTGCAGCTGCAGGGTCGGGGCCCTCATTTCCTGCCCAACTGTAAGGCCATCTTTGCTCCTGCACCCCTTCTCATGTTTCTACACGGTCCCCTTCAGCCAAGGTGGGTTAAGTTCCTCTCACTCTGAATCTCTCCAACTCCTCCTTCTACCACATCTTGCTTCTGCTTCCAGCCAGAGAAACTTCTTTGCATTTCAGGCTCATGTGATTAGACTGGACTCTCATGAATAATCCAGAAAATTTCCCCCTCCCCGACCTCGCTTTTTAAAGGTCCATGGCCTTAATGCCATCTGCAAAGCACCTTGTGCCATGTAAGGTAACACATTTACTGATTCCAGGGGATTGGAGTGTTCTCATCTTTGGTGGGTCATTTTCCCTGACACATCTTTGATTAAATTCTCAATTCCTTTACAATAAAGTAATTGCTCTTAGAGGCTGGCAGCTTCTGACTGTGCCCCTCTTTACTCTCCAACCCATCTCTTGCTTCTCCCAACCTCATTTGTGTCCTATGCCTAGCTGTTCTTTCTATTCACTGAACGGTGCCTTATTGTTTCTCTGCCCAAGACCTGTCTGGAATACACTCTCCACCTCCCTATTTCAGCTGCTGCACAGTCTTCAATACTCCCCTGAAGTGTAACATCAGCCCAGAAGACTTCCCAGGATCACCCTTCTCCACCCTCACTCAGATATCCTAGCCATGAGATAACATAGGACAGAAATTACATATGAATAGTATAAATGAAGTGATAAAAAGTTATCATTTACAGATTGTGTAACTGTCCACCTAGAAAAG